TATTCAAGGAGTTGCCCAAGTCTATTAAAACTCTATTTGTGTTGCCCAAATCTATTAAAACTCCTTACAATGAATTTTCCTTGGTTGGATTTCGAATTTTGCTTCTTTTTTTTTTTTTTTTTTTTGTTTTTTAACTAACAAACCCTAACGTGGGCTGGAAGAAACTTTAAAGAGAAGCACAATTCGAATTCTTCTTCTTTTTTTTTTTTTACGAAGACTCTAGAGAACACAATTCAAGAAAATATGAGATAGAGAAGACACAAATAATGGAAGAACGAAAACAAAACAAGGACCCAAAAAAAAAAAAGGACAGGTGAAACCTTTTCTTGGAAATTGGCTCTGGTTAACAACTGATACGAACCCCGTAGAACTTGTTATGGGACCCAATAATCTTATGCGGAAGCAAGAACGGAACGTCCAACAAATAAAGGATTCGATCGGCGGAATTCGGAATATTGACCCCGTAGCTATAGAGAGCTAGAAACCAATATTATCAAGGTGGAAGTATTGACCCCGTGATTATAATGAATCAGAAACCAATACTATATTGCTAAGAATAATTCACAAGAATCCACTCGCAAAATATCCCGAAGAGTTGTTGAAGAACAACGAAGGAGAATTTTAATCTCTCAAAATAATATTTAAAAACGTCCAAATAATAATGACCTAAAATAACCTATTTATAAGTGTCAAAGAGACCTAATCTAACAAGGAAAATAAATCCTAACTTATCTATTATAAGGAAATAACGAAATAAACTAAATCTAGTCCAAATCGGACTCTAAATAACAAGAAATAAATTGTCCAATAATAAAATACGAAAATTAATAATAATCATCTTTTCCAAGTCACGTCTTCTTCGGCTGGATGACTAGACGGGCTCAAGTCCTTGAGCTCGGCTTGCTTCACAATTTGGCCCGAATAATTCGCTCCAATTAAGCTCAGCTGGGATCGAACTAGACTTCGTCAATTCTTCCTTTTGGAGCTTGTGTTCTACTAAGTTAAGCATGGCTGCTTCAATGCGCTTGGCCCGAGCTCGGGTAATCGGTCATCTTGGCACATGCAGCTCGTCCAAGTCATCAACTCCTTCATCCAGCTCGGCACTACCTCGCGTAATTGGATGGATCGTATCACATTATTGTTGGAATTGATCATCAACTCATCAAAATGAAGGCCTGAGATACAAAAGGAATCTAAGGAGTGCCACACATTCGTTTCAAGATTTGCTGTGCCAAGCTGAAGAAGAACTTGGCACTAGTCCGTTGAACAATAACGCCAACTTGTCCGTCGGTGAATTCAGTCCATGCAAATATTGTAAACTAGTCGCAAATCATTCATGCGTGAAAGATTCACACAGCCCGAACCAATAGCAAACACATCATCATAATTGTGCTTGGATTTTGATTTTATTCATCTTAGGGAATATGAGAATTGAGAAGAGGAATTGGGGAAATTGTACACGAATAGGGGATGATGGCTAGAAGAGGAATGAGATAAGGAAGAAGATTGTGTGGAAGAGGAAGGAGATAATGAATTGGGGTAAAATATTTTTTTTTCTTTTTTTTTTTTTAAACTTGCAAAGGAAAAAAAGACCTTCTAAATAGTATGTGCAATGGGCGTGTGTCCAATTCTAGCCATTTTGGTCTGAAAATGGGCAATGTGCCACAACTTATTGAGTTTCGGCGGGATCGGATTTTTTTATTGAGGTGGTAATCCGCAAAAACGGGCAAAGTTCAGGCGGTTTAATACTATTTACCCATAATTTTACTACGATAGCTTGCTATACCATTTGAGAAAGGACGCGGCTAGTCGCAATACTAATTTCGATAAGTGTAAGATCAAATTAAAGAAAGATCCTAAAAGATTCTATTTTATTAAGTATTAAAATGAAATGATATATATCCACAAGTTAAATTGTGTTTTGTTTGTTCATGCAAGACCAAATAACAAATAACTTGCAAACAAAAAATAAAATTATTTAACCCCCCCCCCCCCCCCCCTTTAATACTTAATAAAATAGAATCTTTTAGGATCTTTCTTTAATTT